ATTTAGGTGTGATTGCTTATAAACTGAAATTCTTTCAATTATTATTATCAGTCGGTTCAATCATATTCTTGTACTAATTGTTATAATAGTATTCAAGTTCTTTTAACTGAAAAAAGTATGTATTGTTTTTTAGCAAGTAATACGATATGGAGAAAACAAACTGAACAGTTTTCCAACAAAATTGTGACCGGAGATGACTATGTCAAAGCTATTTTCCGAGTTTGTTGGGCATGTTCTGAAGGTTTGTACACCCGACGTTTCGTTTACAGTTGTGGCGAACATCATCAGAGATGATGGAGTAAATGACGGAATGCTTTAGTTGTATTCACAACAGATACTACATTGTTAAAAGTTGCCTCCGGTTTTATTCCATCTGCGGCTTCGTTCCTATTAATTGAATGGAATGGCTTGTTTTGTTTTCAATTTAGAGTAGGTAGCCAGATTTCATTCATGTTATTACCAAATTCCTTTCCTTCGAAACTACCGTTGCATTTATACATTTAGATCGCTTCTCTCTACACTCGTGGGTAGTTTTGTCAAGTATTTGTGTTTCTTCGAACGACATAATGTAAGTGCCTTATTTGGTGGTTTGTCGGTTTTCTCGAAGCAGCAATTCCTTTCTGTGTTCAGTAAACCGGGTACTTACCTGGTACTTCTTTTCGTGGTTCCAATGTGAACCAAGCTGCAGCTAGAAGGGATCCAGTCTATCTACGGTTTTGCTAAAGACTCTCTGATGTCCTTAGCTGACCTTAGACTAATACTGATAGTTTCTGTTGGTTTGAAGAAGGCTTCTCCAGAAGTCTTTTAATCCAGTCCACAATATGTTTGACATAGAAGCTTTTCCATTACCTGTTTAAACTGAAGTCACATGGTAATATATCTCCATGTTCATCAGGAAGACTCCCAAGGTCACGAAATACAAGAGGACTGGAACTAAGGTTTGAATTAAATCTCGTTTTTATGGTGGCTGGTGGTTGGAATTTTCATTCAGATACTTATTCGTAGTTGTTGGTTCTGTACAGTTTATGATCCAACGTTCATTTTTCATGTCTGTTCACCAGAACATCAAAGAGTGGAATGGTTACTTCCCGGAGTATTCTGGAGGAACATGAACCAATATTTTGGCCAATTAAAACTATCAAAGAAAGTCTGGTCAGCTGAGAATTCCAGAGAGATTTCAGCAAAACCGGGGGTATAGCGGATTCCTTGTAGCTGGCTGCGGTTCGATCTACATTAGATCAAAGAAATGCAAGCACTCCCCTCTCTAAACAAGAGAGAAATTGTCGCTTTGGACATTCCTACAAATCAGCCAAACACATACTCAAAGAAGGCATTCATTGTCTCGTTCGAAAATACATAAATACTTGACAAAACTTATAATTACTTTTGGAAAGAGTCAAGTCCAATCGTCAAAAACACTTGATTAGCACGAATGAAATACGGTTACCTGGTCTAAATTACATATAAATCATGCCATTCAATTCAACCAATAGGAACAAAGCCCACCAGCATTGGAGTGAAACGGAGATACATATCAATAATGTACTGCCTGTTATCCGGACAACTATAACACGTCGTACGTTGCTTCATTACCTTTGATTAGGTCTACCGCCGTTGCAAACGAAACGTCACGTATGAAAACCCTTCCGGACCATGCCCAACAGTTCGAAAAATATCTCTGATAGAGTTGTGAGCGTCAATGAGATTAAAATATATTTCTCAGTAACGGAAATTTTGGAAGTTGAGAAAATTTCGGAGAAATGTATCATCAATGATCAACATTAATCAAAATCTGCTACTGTTTGAATACCGAATATTTGTATAAACTAGTTTAATAGGTGTATGAGAGATTAACAAAATATGTATGAACCCGTAGAATACAGAGTATTTTTTGAAGATAACAACTTTTAACGACAAATATTTACCCACTGCTTTTTTTTATGAGTTCGAAATCAAATTTGTGTCATGAGGATATGATCTAAATTGTATGAAGGCTATTTTTCTGGTTTACTGGCCAAGGCTGTAGATTTTTTTACCTGACTCTTTGTCTACTCCTGCGGTAAACATTTTCAAAGGCGATGTGATAACGGTCGCAGTACCCGAACTGGTGCTCCGATTCTTGTTGCTGTTGTATACAACGTATCAACTTGTTTTCGAATGAGATAATGTAGGTATCTTCATTGATGAGAGCATGTTTGGCCACAGCCAAATTGTCGGTTTGTCCGAGGCGACAGTTTCTCTTGTATTCGGAGAGACGAGTCCCTATACTTCGTTTCGAGGTTCCCATGTAGACCGACCCGCAGCTACACGGAATACGGTATACCCCTGGTGTTGCTAGAGGTTCTCTAGGGTCCTTCGCTGATCTGCGACTTTGCCTGATGGTTTTTGTTTTCCTAAATATTGGTTTCACATCGTGTTTTTGGGACGCGTCTCTCTGAACAAGAAGGTACCCACATTATGTCATTCGAAGACACAGTAATACTCGGCAGTACCCAAAATTACTACCCAAGAATATATAGACAGGCAATAGAGATTTAAAAGCATGGGGATAATTTCAATAGAAAAGAAGAGACAATTAATATTAATACCTGTTCTTATAAAGTACTTGTCCCGAGTAGAGAGGACTGGATCCTCCGGGAGAAGGAAATATTAAGATCAGATAGTTGTTGGTTCACAGATGAATCGAAAACACCTTTCGGTTCTGGTGCAGGTATTTTCAGTCGCAGATCCAGGACAGAGATATCAACCTGCCTAGGAACCTATGCGACTGTATTTCAAGCGGAAATTTACGCTATTGAATTGTGTGAGGAGAGATTGGAATAATCCAACCTCTCACACAAGTCAAAAAAAATGCTCGGACAGGCAGGCGGCGTTGGAAGCTCTTGGCTCCTATCGAGCAACGACTCTCTTCGATACAGCATATGTCATCGTCATTGTCTTCTGGTTGAAATTTTTTTCCATTATCCTTTCAACTGTCTTTCGTCTGGAGAACGAGTGATTCATAACTGAATACCTGAAGGTGTTTTTTTGGTGACGACATAAAGATCAATGACCTCTATGTCTTCCTGGCCTTGTGTACCCCTTCCTGACTGAGGTATTTGATGAACAAACTGTTAATTTTAACAAACGTCGTGGGGCCTTCACTCAACCGAGCGACGGGGCCTTCTGTATCGGGAGGGGTCGTCTATAGTATAATCTATAGCTTCTCTAACCAATGGGTTATCATGAGTTTCCGCCGACTCGAAAACTCTCTGATCATCGGCTGAATGAACTGCAGTATAGTTAACAGCTTCAAATCTCCGCGGATGGCTTCATTCCGCTCGAACCATGGAGTATTCACCAGCATCCTAAGAAGTTTGTTTTGCAGTCTTTCCAAAATGGAAAGATTTGACGGAGCGGTTTGTCCCCAGGCGCCTGTAGCATACATGATGACAGGCTTAAACATAGTACTGTATAGTAGAATCTTATTTTTAAGTTTGAGCTTTGAGTTTCTGTTAATCAGAGGATAGAGTTTTGCTATCCTCGACTGCACTTTGCTCTTGATATAATCAATGTGATTTGCCCAGGTGAGTCGGCGATCTACCCATAGACCTAGGTACTCAACTCGCGTTTGCCATTCCATCTCCCTGCCTGAAATCGTGACCCTTGTGTCTGGACAAACATTACGTCTCCCCAAGTCTATCGTCTGGGTTTCATCTGAATTCACCCGAATCTTCCAGTCAAGGTACCAGCTTTCCAGTCATCCAGTGTGCGTTGTATTTAGACGACCGCCAACGCTCGACCCAAGGAAGAAGCGAAGAGAGCCGTATCATCGGCGTAAAGGGAAACCTTCACGTGATAGAACCTCGGAAGGTCACTCATCCCCTCGATAGGAAGACTTAACAGATTATCTCTGGTCTGGATTCCTAGCCATACTGGCCTGGAAGGCAATGAGGCTGCTGACTGCCTTGTAAAGGAGAGTGCTGCAAGCAGCTTCTTCGGACCAGAACCTGTCATTGGCATCACTTTAGGCTTTGCCAAACAAAGACTGAACACCTGGATGGCAAGAAGATTTATGGACTTCTGGCAGAATCTTCCAGGATTGGCTCACTCCAAGGTGTTTATTCTCCCTTCGAAGCTTGATACCAAACAGTTGTTGGACTACAGTAGAGATGAACTACGACGTCTAACAGGCCTTCTTACAGGTCACTATCATTTGAATCATCATAAGCAGAGGCTCGGACTGTCGGAAGCAGAGTATGTCTCCTTTGTTTGGAAAATGATGAAACAGCAGATTACATACTTTGCGCCTGCTCCACTGAGGACTGAATCAGGTTTTTAGAGTTTGGCAGAGCCGTACTCTTACTATCTGACCTGAAAGACCACTCATTATACAAAGTAATCGGCCTCGTTAAGAGCTGGGTCGAGTGTGAATAGGTGTGAGCCACAGTAAACCCTTGCGGGTTGCGGTGGAGGCTCGAATAGACCCACTTACTCTGGACCTAACCTAACCTGTCCTTAGAAGTATACGAACAGGTTATACAATTAAGAATGGTATAAATAGAGCGCCCAGTACGGAAACAGTAGTTGATGCGTTGGATACAACAGGAACAAGAATCAGAGCACCAGCTTGTGTAATGCGACCTTACCGCATCGCCTTTGAAAATGTGTACCGCAGCAGTAGACGAAACGTCCGGCATAAAAACCTGCAGCGTTCATACAGTTATCTCCGGCCGTGATATATTCTTCGATGATCTAAATTGTTTATACAGATTGTCCCCCAAAAAGATGAAGGAGAGGTTTCAGGAAAAGACACCCTGAACTCCTTTCCCGTTTAACAAAATCAGTTCCATTTAACAGTTCAACTGTTTGTACATTTGAAGAGTTTCACGCTTTCACATGCTTTTTCTCTGAGCTTACTCTCTATTTACTGTTTGGTTTCCATCATCAGTTTGTTCACTTTTTGCATTGGTACTTGCTTCTTAGTCAATATACTATGTTAATTGTTTTTTGATTGCCAGACCCTGAATACCATATCTGCTGAGAAGAACTCTACTATAGTGTTTCCTCTGCCAATTGATATGCTCACATACTTTATGAAAGCAAAGGAAGCCGCAGAAAATAAATAGTGTTTCATATTTCAGAGTATAATATAATTAATATTAAGTTGTTAACATTACCTCCTAAGTTTTATATCACACAAAACATCGATTTTAGAGTTTGCCAAACACCCAAATTTCTAGCACATACTTGCATTGTGTAAATGTAGGTTTATTACATCTGAATGTATTTTGAAACTAGTAAGTAGTCCTTTAAATTGTAAGTATATATTAAGTAATGTGTTGATTGTGAAATCTCTTGCAAGTATCAATAAAGAAGGCCATAAGAGACACTACATTGTCTTTAGAACTTAGTTGAACTTTGAACGATTAGATGGTGCCTTTCGATATGTCTACCGCAATCTTAGACGAAATGTCGGGCATAGAAACCTACAGATCGCGGCTGAAAAACTCGATATATTTCTTTATCAAGATTTTAATGAATAAACATGTCTTCGCCTCAAAGTTAGGGGTTCAAAGTGAATGGGTCTAAGACAAGCATTTTTCCAATCAGCAGAATTGTAATACACTCCTTGCTAGTTTCTCAAAGAAATAAGACAGGAATCACACAGGAATAAGGAATAAGACAGGTGTTAGGAATCACAAGTTAAAAGGTAAGACCTCGTTAATCCTTAGCTCGCACAAGTTTCGACTTCTGGGGGTTGTCGTTCGTAGGGGTGCGACAGCTGGTTAACGGAAAAACAGAAAGAGAAACAGATTTTTTTTTCAATTTGGATGTAATATCTAAATCAACAGAGTAAATGAGTTACCAGAAATAAATAGAAAGAACCAAATGAAATGAGTAACTTTTGGAGTGTTACACATACATATACATACACTCAAAAATCAAACTATGTGAATAAGTAATTTTTCGAAAACCTTTATGATATGAACATATTTGTTCCTTTGAATAAATAAAGGAATAGTTTAAGTTGCAAGGTTGTCCAATGAATGAATAGATAATAATTTTTTTCTTCATGATGTGTGAATTTAATGTTTCTTTTGTGTCTTTACTGCAAAGAAACGTCTTTACAGTAAGAAGCCATTGTATGGCGAAACACGTGTTGCGTTTTTATAAAACTGTTTGAAAATCTCACAATAAAGCGTTTTTTGAATACAAATATTCAAATATTCATAATGATTAGACAACTCATCATCATGATAAGTAAATCCAATAGATATTGTTAAGTCTTAGTGTAAGGTTTTCACTATTCGGAACCGTGGTCATAATGATTAGTAAATCCGATAGGTATTGTTTATCGAAACAGTTTGGCCATTATGTACTAGAAAATGTGAACATGTACAGCTTTTTCTAGCATTTGAAACTATTAAGGAAAAACAAGATTAAACCCAGAATCGGTAAATTAGTCAACACGTTCAATTTACACTTCGAAACGATTTTACACCGAGTACATACAATATTGTGTATTATGTTTGCACATGTATTTCCAAAGGTTTATCGAGTCCATCATAACTGAATATTAAACGACCAATATTCAAACTGGCATCAAGAAACTCGTCACAAATTATAGGCCAATAACTATCACAAATAATTTCGCAAAAGTTTTCGAAAAATGCTTGAAAAATAGACTTGCTCAATACCTAGACAAGAATAATATCTTAAATGAATGCCAGTTTGGATTCAGAGAACGTATGTCAACAGAAAATGCTTTCAATTGGTTCATAGTATATGAAATAATTTCAATATTGGCAAAAAGTGCCAACAGTCTTTTTAGATTTGGTGAAAGTCTGTGATACTGTCTCTTACTGAGGCGTTTAGAAATCATTGGAGTAAGAGGAATCACCCTTAACCTTTTTGAAAAAAACTTATCTGGCAGAAATCAGATTGTTGAAATGAACAATATTTATACTGATCCACTACCTATAACCATGGGCGTCCCCAGGGGACAGTACTAGGGACAATTTTGATCTTAATATATATTAATGACATTTACAAACTTGAAAACATCCAAAGCAGCAATATATCTCATGCAGACGATACAGCTCTGTCATTTCTGGGCGATACGTGGGACGTATCTGGGACGTGGGACATGGGACGTGGGAGAACTGAAAGGGGACTCACATCTGGATTCCTAATCAAAGTTCTCTCCAGGCTATGGATATAAACTACATCCTATTGTAGGTAATATCTTGAATTAGTTGAACAATNTAATGATGTAGATAATGTACTAAAAACAAAAAAAATATTCAGAAGTTCCTAGATAGCAGTCATCACATCACTCTCTTCAGCAATCTACGGTATTGATCAGATAAAAAAATAATAAAATCTTTGGACGTAGCCTAACCTGAGTAAATATGTAAATACTACGTGCAACGATTTTATTATTTTTTTATCGGATCGATATCGTAGATTGCTGAGGAGAGTCCGGTGATGACTGCTAACTAAGATCTTCCGAATTATCTTTTAGTTTTCAGTACATTATCTACATTATTATTTTTTTTTTCAATGAAACCCTTTGAAATAAAAACTGTTCTTACTTATTCTATTCATAGTTGATTTGACCAATACTGTTGTAAATTTGTTAACAGGATGAATTGAATTGTAACTCATTTCACTGAATAAACTACGGTATTTTGTAATAACTCTCATTTATTCAGTTCAACAAATGCTACGTCATAAAATCAGATGATAACTAAAAAAGTAAAGATGATGGATTTCTCCCTACGCCATCTCTGGGAATGACAGAAAACTCAGTCCCCGAATATCAAGAATATCTGACTGATGACACCTGGTGGGTTGAAACAACGCTGTTGGGTGTTGGTACATAAACTCATCGAGTTGAAAGGCTGCATTGAAGGACAGCAGTCGAATCTTCTTGACGGTCGATGTCGCTTGGCTTTGCAACGAATCGCCTTCGAGGAGCCTCATTTATCATTGATGTTCGGGGATTGAGTCTTTTGTCGTATCCATAGATGGCGTCTCTGTAAAGGAGAAATTACATCCCCTTTACTTTTATGTTTGTTCATTCGAGAACAGTTCAGTGACGAGACAGCGGATGAATCCCGTTTTGCAAACTATGTCAAAGCCTGGCAATGCAACGGACCGCCTTGAAAAACCTCGTTTACCTTTGATTTGAGTTCAGTCTTCTGTCAATTTGGGGATCTATTTTGATTCATTTCTGAATTCTTGTTCAGAAAAAATATATAAATCAACTGTCACCCGCAACCTGTGACTCAAACTCAACTAGAAAGATCCACAAAGTAAGTGCTCTGCTGTTTCATGATCTTCCAAACAGAAACCGCATGCACTATCTTCAGACATATGATGTTCAGACTCTTCATATCATGATTGAGACAGTGATTTGTAGGTATGCCGGTTAGAGAGTTTTGGTTATCTATACTGTATTTCAACAATTTTCGGTTGCAGGCCCATGTGGCCAGAGATCCAACCCCGACCGTCATCCATAGCACCCGAGATAGTGTCTCGCAATAACGTACACCACTTCGTCAGAGATGAAGGTAGGGAACGTGTGTTGTAGGGCGCGATTTGATATGCCTTCGTGAGACAGCGAGTATTGGGAGTTGGGGAGTCCATCCGACTGCCCACCCAAGCCACCACGTCAAATCAGCTGCGGAGTACGCCGAATGGATTCAGAGGAACCAAGCCGATTGCAGTCTAAGCCGACCGACGTTAACAAAGGGTGATTCCAGATCATACAAGGTAAGACACCTACGTAGATAATAATTCTAGTAAGTGCCTGTCCGCCGCCATCTGAGTTACCCTTAAATGCATATTGTTGCAATATTGCAACAACCGATTTCATAGGCTTTTAAATTGTTACTGGCTATTATACGATGCCTTAGCACAGCGTTGCATATCTACAACGATCCAATTCGAAGTATACCGTCGGATATTTCGATTATAAAAGGGAATGTATTTAGGATTTTAGAATTTATACTTCAGTTACCAGTTGACATTTGATTTGTTCAGAAAAAATATATTAATTAACTTTAACCTGCAACCTGTGACTCAAACTCAACTAGAAAGATCCACAAAGTAAGTGCTCTGCTGTTTCATATCTTCCAAACAGAAACCGCATGCACTATCTTCCGACATATGATGTTCAGACTCTTCATATCATGATTGAGACAGTGATTTGTAGGTATGCCGGTTAGAGAGTTTTGGTTATCTATGCTGTAATTCAACAATTTTCGGTTGCAGGCTCATGTGGCCATAGATCCAATCCCGACCGTCATCCATAGCACCCGCGATAGTGTCGCAATAACGTACACCACTTCGTCAGAGCTGAAGGTAGGGAACGTGTGTTGTAGGGCGCGATTTGATATGCCTTCGTGAGACACCGAATATTGGGAGTTGTGGAGTCCATCCGACTGCCTACCCAAGCCACCACGTCAAGCCAGCAGCGGAGTACGCCGAATGGATTCAGAGGAACCAAGCCGACTGCAGTCTAAGCTGACCGACGTTAACAGAGGGTGATTCCAGATCATACAAGGTAAGACACCTACGTAGGTAATAATTCTAGTAAGTGCCTGTCCGCCGCCATCTGAGTTCACGTTTAATAGTATCTTGACGTAGCTCTTATGTTTTTAGTCCTTTTGTGGTATTCGCCACTTGGATTATCTGTTCAGAACTTATATCCGCGTTTTCAGCACTTTATGGTATTCGACACTGGGGCTACCTTTTCTCGTCACGTGGATCTTTTGTTTTCCGATCCTTTGTGGTATTCGCCACTTGGATCATCTGTTCGAAACTGCTCTTCGCTTTTCCGGCTCTTTGCGGTATTTGCCACTTGGACTACCTTTTCCACGCGTCTACTCTTTTGTTATCTGATACTTTTTGGTATTCGCCACTTGGGTCATCTGTTTGAAACTTCTATTCTTGTTTTCAGCCCTTTGTGATACTCGCCACTGGGGCTACCTCCTCTCGTCACGCGGATCTTATGTTTTCTGATCCTTTGTGGTATTCGCCACTTGGATCATCTATCCGAAACTTCTCTCCACCTTTTAGGTCCTTTGTGGGGCTACCTTTTCCTCACGCGGCTCTTACGTTTTCCGATCTTCCGATCCTTTGTGGTATTCACCATTTGGACTACCATTTTTCACAAGTCTTCTCTTACGTTTTCCGATTCTGTATGGTATTTGCCACTTAGATCACCTGTTCGGAACTTCTCCCCGCGTTTTCAGCCCTTTATGGTATTCGCCTCTGGGGCTGTGTTTTTCTCGTCACGCGGATCTTATGTTTTCTGATCCTTTGTGATATTCGCCACTTGGATCATCTGTCCGAAACTTCTCTCCGCATTTTCGGGTCTTTGTTGGTCTACCTTTTCCTCACGCGGCTCTTACGTTTTCGATCCCTTCTGGTATTCGCCACTTGGACTACCATTTTTCACACGTCTTCCTTACGTTTTTCGATCCTTTATGATATTCGCAACTTAGATCATCTGTTCGAAACTTCTACACGCGTTTTCAGCCCTTTGCGGTATTGGCCACTGGAGCTACCTAATGTTTTCTGATCCTTTGTGATATTCGCCACTTAGATCATCTGTTCGAAACTGCTCTCCGCGTTTCCGGCTCTTTTTGGTATTCTCCACTTGAATCATCTGTCCGAAACTTCTCTCCGCATTTTCAGTCCTTTGTGGGGCTACCTTTTTGTCACGACGCTCTTACGTTTTCTGATCCTTTGTGGTATTCGCCACTTGGATCATTTGTTCGAAACTGCTCTCTGCGTTTCTGGTTTTGTGTGATATTCGCCACTTGGGTTGCCTTGTCTTCACACGCCTCCTTTTACGATTTCCGGTCCTTTATAAGTATTCGCCACTTGGCCATCTATCCAAAGCTTCTCTCTGCGTTTTCGGACCCATGTGTTATTTGCTACTTTGGCCATTGTTTACTTGTTTTCGATAGGTTTGTCAGCTATCGTCGTCGCTCTCAAATCTTCGGGGTTGCGCGTGCGGAATCCGGTGGCTCTTAAATTGAAATCAAATTGGGAATGATCGGAATAGTACTCATCTTCATCTTTTGAATTTCATGAAATTATTTTCTAGCAGCTTGACTGCATCAACATTTCTTAACTTTATATCATTTCTAGAAACATGTGGAATCGTTTTCCGATGACAGTCTAGGAAATCTTTCCAAATTTCTGCCAATGCCCTTTCAGTTGATTGGTTAAACCACCTACGCAGACATAAAAACTTGGCAAGGTAATTTCGGTGTCATACCAATAGGTGGTTCCACTCCGGGTTAGTGAATATAGCTCGCGTAGGTGAGGAACAGGCATTATTTCTGAGGTGAATTCAACATAGCTTTTAATACCCGCTTGCATACATCGTGGTTGATCGACTTTCCTGCCTACCGTTAACACCACTTATCTTATTTCAAACCCCTGCCATTTTGTTTCTGTAGTCACTTCGTAGTCACTAGAGTGAGTAGTCAGAACCGGTGGTACATCCTTTTTGAAAACAAAAAATTAAATTTGGAGGAAATTACAAAATATTCTACAGATATTGTTGGTTAATTAAAAACTGAAGGGTAGAGTAAGACAATCATTGATTCGAAAAAGTTTACTCTTTGGTACAACATGCTCATTCAGGTCACAAATAAAAGGGAATTGAAAAATTTCATAGCCTTTCCATATATAAAAAGCATTCTCTACGTCTAATATGCCTATGATAAATATTTTGAATGCTACTGCTTTTTTTCACGTGAAACAACATTCGAAAATCATTTCGTCAACTTCAGCTGATTAAAATTAGTATCACTTTTATAAAAAAAATGTAATAGATTTGTAACTAACTTCTTAAATAAATGCATTGAGTTTAATGAAACCCGTATATACACGTTCTATCCATATTCAGCTCCTTTGCTATTTCACTTAACATTCTTTGTTATCCATATTTCAAATAAGTTAATGGCAATTATAATTGAAGGAAACATTGTACCCCCACTGATTCGATTTTTGAGGTGTGAAGTTAGAGACAAAATTTGAATATGGATGGACTGTAGACTATAATAAGTTGAATACACAGAAGAAAGTATAATGTTAACACTATCGAAGTTATAGTTTGGTGTCATGTTCAAAGTGTATCTCCCATTATCATTCATAAACCTTGATATGTTTTTATAGAAACTAATTAACGTGTTTTGCTATATTATGTGTTATTAGAAGGGAAATAATCAGTGCTCACCTTTTGCAGGTAACCTAAGACTATATGAAGGTGACTATATGAGAGTCTTGCGTTTGTTGTGTCAATAAAATGAAAATATGTACTTTTGTAGTGTTGACACAATCTGCGGAGAATATGATTTAGTAATACCTACTCGGATCATGATGGTCTTAAAGTAACCAAAATCTTAATTATGCAGTTCAAAACTAACCACCTATGTGGTGACATTCAGATCAAAAATACGTCAATCAAGTCACCGACAGATATTGAGCGTTTACCCATAGCTATTTTTTTGGTGTTGATGTGCTCCAAAATAAACCACAAACTCATAGCATTTCAAGTAATCGTTGTCAAAAACTAACCGATTGATAATCGATACTAACCAGTAGCTTTGACACCGGATACCTGAAAAACCATACACGAGTTATTATTGAGTTCAATAACAAGTATTCATTTATATGTTATTTGGGTTATTTGATATTTCTGCAGATTTCAACGTTTCACGAGTAGAATGTCGCTGATAGTAATAAGATCCAGAATCTCATTATTTTCTAAAATTGAATTCATTTTGACAGTTTGGCACTTGGCCAACGTACAATATTTGCCAGCGACTGGGTTGACGATTATCTATTGATTTCCAGAAAACCATGTTCCGAATATAATTTTTGTTTCATAAATATGACGGTAACGGTCACTTTTGGTATTCATAACCAAAATTTTGTTCAGTTGTGGATCATCATAAATGTCACTAATTATGAATTTATGATACATACTTTATAATTATACTGAATAGATTGAATGTAAGTTCATATCAGCTGATATTATAGTTCCATATTATTTCATATAGAGTTATCACTCAACACTCTTATACCATAGTTATGATACAATAACAGTTATAAACGAGAATACAATGCGTGATTTCAGTCAGCGATTGGGAGAGATGAAATGAAAGCTCAACTTCGTAGCATAATGCGAATTTTGCTCATGTTTTCAAGCATTCCCTATATCTGGATAAGCGTGATTATTATTATGGACCCGATGAAATTATAATGAAACAAGTGCAAAGATAAATGCTATTTTGTGAAAATTTTCCAATGAACTTGCAGCGAAACTATTTCGGAACTACCCGTCTCGACAAAAGTATGAGTTGTTCAATTGTCTTATCTGTGAAAAGCGAAAGCACTCATTTCTGAATGAAACATTTTGGATTGGACAAAAAATAATGACATTTGAAATTGAAATAACACACAATCATAAACCCGTTATATGTCAGTGATCTGGTTTGAAATCCACCACAGTGTTATTTTGCAAAAAATTGTAGACTATGCACTCAGTATAGCCCCTACTTATCCGATCACTCGTATGACTTTCAACTATAACTTCGTGAAAATGATTGTTAACTGTATTACATATATATGGCACAAATGATGAGAAAAAATCGCTTCAGTGTCTGTTCAGAGCTCTCTCCTCTGGCTTTCCGTTCCTCATTTCGTTCATCCGGTAGTCTGTATGTACGCTGGTGCCAGTTTCTGTGGTGGAGAAGTTGCTTGTGCGTGTCCCTCCTCTGGTTGTCGACATAGCGTGCGCAAGGTGAGGTTTACCAATGCAGATGTAATATCTGGAAAATGATAAACTTGATTATTGGGGTCCCAGAGTGGAACAACTGAATAGTCCTTGGATACCTATCACAGTTAGTCAAACTTCAATAATTTGCTTCGCTTTGGAAATATAAATTTGTTTGAGAATATCAATTGAAAATCAATATCGATATGATTACCGAGTTTTACATGAGATATCAGCTCAGAACTCTGAACATTTTTCGTATAAAGCTCTTTCCAGAATGGAGAAAAGAAACGCACCATAGTTTCAAAGCAAACCTAAAAAAAAATTCACTTTGACGTTTTTTTTACACGGTTGATGATTTTATGGAGTCGCCAATCTATTAACTTTTGTTAAAGCATACTTGAATGATGATATGATTGACTCTTCATTATTGCACTGATTAGAGGTATTTTTCTTTTATTTGAGACGTTATTGTTCAGTTCACTATTATCCAAGTTTTCTGATTGTCTTCTATTCCGTTTTTAATTTTGTAACCACATTATTGAAACACGAACTATAGTCATTCTACGTTAGCCATAAGTTGTCCAACATGGTTGCACTGCATTTCACATTCATCTTTGGTTTGTGTTTACCGTATCTCCAAATAAATACTCCATACCACCAAAAGTAACAGATCATCACAAAAATGAAATACTTCATACTACTGAAAATTATAAATGATTACCAAAACTAGTAAATGATCACCTTAATTGAAACTCAATTTTAATGTGAAACCAAAATAACATAACCTAACTAACCTAACCTAACTTGATTTGATGTCATACCTACTTTATTTGATAATATACCTATTTTCATATGGTTTTTTGTAGGTGGTCCTAACCTAATATCCTGGCATTTTTATATGAGTATGCCTAAATTTTTTAACTAAGGCATTATTTACTCGCCTTTGGTGACTCGCCTTTGGTGACTCGCCTTTGGTGATAAGTTACTGATTTTGGTCTTTGAATACATTCGTTGATGGTCATTATGTTCAATCCCTTCATCTTTGAGGTATATAAAATATAACACGGTAGACATGCTGGTAACCTATTTCTGCTTGTTCAACTGGCTAAACTGAACTGATTATCTCAAATTTCACCTTTTGAAGTTTTGATCATTCTACTGAAATTGTTAGTTCTATAAATGGACTTCACTCAGCAGCTGTTTCCACCTGATTATTTTCAACTTACTTCTAATGTATGTTACATACTTCTATATAATCCTTCCTATGTTGAGGATTTTTGTGAAAGACCTGCTACAAATGAACATGATGTACGTAGTCAATGAATAGGTTTATGTCTACTCTGAGAGAAGAAGAGAACATTTTAGGATCAAAATAACCCTCCAAGTCTCTAACAAAGTTTTCCTCAACGCACTTTCAGGCCTTTTAGTTGGCGTCATCAGGTGATGATCAAATCGAACACGTGCAATTTTTTGATGATTCTTTATTGGCTCAACTACAGTCGAGGAAGATGTTGTCACAATGTGCTGATGTGTGAAAAAGTATTTTCTTTTTTCATTGCCTTTTGTAGACAATCTTCCCAATATAAATGACGATATGTATCATACTGGCTGGTCGTCCAAGGTGAAACTATGAGTCATCTTCAGTGGAGCGACTAAAACCCTGCATATTTGTATAGGCGTAGTCATAACTACAAAAACTTGATTTAGGGCTTTAGCTCTACATAAAAATTACCGATATGTAATAGTAATAGTAGGTTAGCACCTCGATATCTAAAATCTACATCAACCTCCGTTACCAATACGTGCATTCATACATTTGATTTAGCTTTGACCTAGAGTTCTTTGCATTTCTTCATTCAAACTAGATTTTTGATTGATGGTGATCCTTTCATAATAATTTTTTTGACCATAGAAGAAATGAACAGATGAATCCAGCGTCAACAATGTATCCAGGGTAAAAACTAGTATTGGTATTTATAATTTAACATGTTAATATAGTTTCAGCCTACATCCTGTCAAAGTCAATTCATGAGCAAGTTTTTCTAATTCAAGATTCCAACGAGGGGTCATCTATGCTCGATTCAGAAACTAAGCTTGATATAAGCTTCAGAGAGAATTAGAGTAAATCACTGAACTGAGGTACCTGTTTCTCGTATCAACCGTTAAACGTTATTTATCAACGGAAGAGAATTGAGATTACAGAATTGTTACAGATTGGATAACAGAAATGTTATGAAAAAGTTCAATTGCAAGTTCAATGCAAAATTAAGATCGCTGGTGAACCGTCACATAATAACAGATATCTTCCTGTTCTACAGATATTTTGAACCGTTTCGTTACTTTTTCTGTACCATACAGCCTGTCGGAGTTTGGAACGTATCTACATGTCTCCCCCTTCTGCCAGTACGCCCGAAGCAAAGCAAAATATTGAAAATTTCTATTTTGATGATTCACACCATGATTGTGCCGTATCTATAAGTTTTCATTAATGAATAATTCAATATTACATTATCTGCTGACAACCTGTTAAATAATAACATACTACCAACCCCTTATTGATAAATAGAATTGAGGGTTAACACATAATAAAACCATCGATTGTTGTTAGTCATTGAAGTGTACCTAATCAACATGCAGCATGCGAGTAAAAAGCACCAAGTTCAAGATTGTGAGAAGTATCCTGGAAAAAATATAACTTTCCACCGGTGAAGTTATTCTGCAGAAATGGTATGATATAAAGTATTTCGTAAGAATGACTGTCTCGCCACCATGTCAAAAAAGATCAAAAGATCAACTGAAAAACACTGAGAGCAGATGTAAGTTCTTGTTCAGTTGGATAAGATTTCGTGACTTACTACTACTACTGTATCTTTAATGATAAACTGCTTCCTGTGTGAGCTTGAAATTACTTGAATGTGGTGTTGATACTTCAAAACCTTCGGATGAAACTTTCAACCAATATCTACACTCGGGAAGAATTTCAAGTTAGTTTAACCCCAAGACAGAGTGCAATTGCTTTTACAGGTATTGAATGAATAGTTGGTCCTTCATAAAAAGTTACGTATTATCTATCATCAATTGCGATATGTGCTTGAGTGTCCTTGATAATAATTATAATTCACTAGTACTGAGCAACAGCAGTTAGTTTTTTTCACCGGCCAGTCACGGTTTTTATTGTTCAATACTTTTTTCCATTGAGTTCACTCTGTCAAAGGTCTAATTTAGATTTTTCTAGATTGGAGATCGTATGTTTTTGTTATTCTTTCATATGTATAAAAATATATAACTAGGGGACTTCCCACAAACTCCATCATATCAGCTAGTGATCACTATCATATTTTCGGAATTTTCAGAGGATCCACTAATATACTATGTAATATTTTTTTAAGTACCCTGCAGTTAATCTCATGGAAAAAAGTATGTTGACTTCGTTAGACACCTGATAGAAATGATTTTCCAATACAATTAAGGTGCATGCCAAACTAGCCACCACAAAATATTGAAGATCTTACACAATCATCTCGTATACATGTTGAATATTTATCTTGTCCTCTATCATAAATGAGTTTTCGGATTCGTCTTACTGGAACAGCAATTAAAAAATGATTTTTAATCAAATGGGAAAGCTCAATACTAGTGAATTGAAAATTCAATTACTGTCTGAGCTGAGCATAAAGAGGTTTTTGTTAGGAATTATCCCATAAGGCATGAATCCCACAAGAAAAAATTCACCTCTTCTTATTCCACAAACATTTTTCTATTTCTAGATGCGTTTCGCTAACACTGCAGCTTTCTCAGTAAAAATTCTACCCCTAACACTTCAGCTCCCTCAGTAGAAATTTCACCGTTTATATCGAAGCTTCATCGGTAGAAATTCTACGTAGCTTCCGCGGTAGAAATTCTTCCGAGGAAGCTACGGTGTTTGCAAAACGCATGTAGGTACAAAAAATGTTTGTGAAAATTGTTTATCATTATGGATTTCTTGATTTTCATCGAGGAACGGGTCAGTCCATTCATAAACCTCTTCTTGTTCAGTAACATATTCACACTGTATTCAAGCACTTTTTCTAAGTATGTCATTATGTCATAAAATTATTAGTCTCTTACCTCTTCTTCAGAGATGTCCAAATCTTTCTTTTGAAGACGAATATGAAAAAAATGAACACCCCATACGTGGCATTGATGAAGTCTGTGAAGTAAAAGACAGCTTTTGGTGTTTCTTGCCAGAAGTATCCTATAGCCCAAGATATTATCTCTGTTATCCAGTTGACACCCATTGCAAACAGTAGTTTCACGTAGAGTTTGTATCTGCAATTATATACATTCATAAAGTATTTTCAGGTTCATAAATATATCTATATTCAAGTTATGTTCACCCTGATATCACTATGGTACTTTAAGGTAGTGTATTTGATCCTCTACTAGGTATGATATGAACTCTCCTTTGTTATGGTGATAATAAAGCAATATCGCAGTGAAAATAAAGACAGAGAGATAATTCGATACATTTAGAATTATTTCTCATAATACACAGGCAAATTTTCATAAAGCAGTTTTAAAATCGTCATTATTCATATAAACCTAAATACATATATGAAAAATGATGTGGGGCATTGATTACTAGTGATTTTTTCTCATAAATTTTTGCTCCAAAATTTTCAATTGAAAAACTAATATTGCTAATGCTCTTATATCTAGCAGATATATTGCACATCGACAGGCCTAGAAATATCCATTTTAAATCTGCCAACAGACCCTTATTGAATACGATGTTTTTTTAAGACAAAACAGGAAATTCCTTAAGGCACTCTCAGAGCGGTGCCTGTGCGAAAGTAGCGATTCACATTGGATTTGAATCGCTAGAGAATAACTCCATTTGGAAAAACGTTCTCAGGAAGTTTACTTCAGATAAACGCAGTTCTCCAGATGAAAAAGTTCTTGAAGAGTGAATTTCGAGGTGTTCTGAGTTGACCATCAAAACAATGAGCAGCCACAGTCCGTCGAGTAGTTCTGATATGTACCGCTCTTGGTGGAATCAAATATGCCAAGTCACTTGAACACCTTCCGTAAAAGTATCTATAGAACACAGACAAATCTCCAACCTTTCTTCGATGTTCCAGGCTATTAAGGTTGCAAGTGATGTTCGCGTCCCCAATCAGGCGGATAGCTCTTTTCTGAATGGATTTCAACATTCAGGATATGTTTGGGTGCAGAGCTCCATATATACAAATAATACTCCAAAGAAGGTCTAATCTGAGCTTAATAAAGCATCAAAAAGTGCTGAGGTGTGTTCAGTTTTCTGGTGGTTCGGAACAGTGTTCCAAGCTTTTGAGAAGCAGCCTTTGCAATTCCAGCGACATGATTGTGCCAAGACATACTGGTGTCCTGAATTTCACTAGTTCGGACTTCCATTGTCTACACATCAACAGCGTCAGACCTTCCATCACTTTCACAATGAAGAAGGAAATCCACAATGAATTGCCATTCCTAGACGTTTTGGTGAAGAGGACCGACACTAAGTGGGAAACATCTGTATACCGAAAACCCACTCATACGGGACAGTATCTGAACCACGAATCCAACCACCATCAATCGACAAAAAGAGGAATCATCAAGACTTAGACAATGGAAGTCCGAACTAGTGAAATTCATCACGAAACATTGTTAATCACTTTCAAACATACTGGTGTCCATTTTAACATTATTATATCCGGTTCGGAAACATTTATCCTCTTGGAGAAAACCGATGCCTGAGTTTTTGTGGCATTGAATTGAACCTGGTTACTTTCACACCAATTCGACATCGATACTAGATCCCCTTTAAGATATCCAACCTTCTGCTGGTGGAGATGTACCTCTGTAGCCATTCCAAATGGAATGACGAGACAAGTGTGCTGTCGTCAGCAAAGCAATATATTGGATTCTTGGTTTTTTCCAATAAGTCGTTGATATACAGTAAAAAGAGGGTTGGATCCCTGGGGAACACCAGTGTTGATGGTGAAAGTATTCGAAAGATATCCATCGACGGCTTACAGAAATGATCTGTTGCCACATACAGTCAAAGGCCTTAGGAATATCAAGCGCAACAGCTTTTGATTTTCCATGCTTCTCGATTGCGTTATTCCAAATACAAGTGACATATGATAGAAGGTCGCCTGTTGATATTTGTTTCCGTAAGCCATATTGATGATCGCTTAAGATGTTGAAGCCTTCCAAATATTTGAGGATATGGTGGTTTCAGGCTTTCTCCATGATTTTTGAAATCATGGCGACTGGTCTATAGTTATTTGGAAGACTTTTCTTGCCCTTTTTGGGAATAGGCTGAACGCTAACAGGAAGGAAAAAACCCCTGTCTTGTAAGACAGGTTGAAAAGTCTTCAAAATACTGGTGCGAGTTCATTTGCGCACTTTTCAAGTACGATGACGGGTACTTCATCAGGGTCAGACGCCTTGTTCATATTAGGCTATTTCAAAATTCGCCTGACAAGACCTGTCGAAAAGTAATTTCCGGATTCTAGTGTGAATGCAAATTTTTCAGCTAGTAGATTTGCTTTTTCTATGGGTTTTTTGCGCCACTGATCAATTGATCGTTTGAAAAACGAAAAGCGTCCAATGCAGTTTAACAAATCCAAGATACAAAAATCTCATCTACTTCTGGAGATGGTTTTTGGGAAGAGCACATCCTCTATGTCACTGTTTCACATATTCCAGTTGCTAAGCTTCCACTAAAATATATCGTGTCTTCAGTTCAGCAGGTTCTAAACGAGTATCTAAGCTTTTGGACATTTTCGAAAAAGCCCAAAAATTTATATATTTAGGGCTGAAAGTGTAAGAAAACGGCCACGAAAATCTAGAAAAATAGAAGCAAGAATCATAAAAGAAAATTGAAAACATGGAATGTTGAGAAAATTATCAAAGTCTAAATGTGTATCAAAACCTAAGGAAATATTATATAACTCAGTAATTAGTGAAAGTTAGGAAAGGAAATGATTACGAATAATATATGGAGGAGTTCATATAGAAGAGAGTTGATGAATTTGAATATTATTATGAAACATTAAAAATATCAGCAGTAATAAGAGCCCAAAGGATCAGATGGTTGGGAGCTTACAGAAAAGACAAGAATATACTGACTGGATAAATAAATTTGAAAAAGGCAAAAAGGAAGATCGCGAAAGATATGGTTGAAAACGGTACAAAATGATTGTCAAAGTATGAACGTCTTGAATTGAAGACACAAGATAGTAGATAGGAAGGGTTGAGAGAAGACCGGTAACTGCCTCATTCCCAAAGCTTCCAAGGCCTGTTCAGCAAATATATGTTTCTCTGTGGAATTTATTTGTGAATGATATGGAAAAATTAATACTTACTGTTGTTTATCGTCTTCATAAGCATGTCTTTTGCTGTCTGAGTGCTTGAGGACGGAAGTTTCTCTCTGGACTTTATGAATTTTGAATCCCGTCAAAATAAACAGTACTATATTGATGATGAGGATAAGCATGGCTAGGAGGTAGAAGTAGAGGAAGTTTGGCAGTCCCTCTGTAAAAAAAATTAAGAGCTGTCTAGAGAGTCATTTTCATTAACAGAAGCAAACTTGGAATTGTTGAATTTTGGACACTGAGACATTTTCATTCAGCGAAGACATATTTTTTTCAATTTCCATTCTAAAAAACATTGACCAATTAGATTCTTTTACAATATCAGTATGTGAATATGAAGTTTTGAACGGTTTTTATAGAATGTTCAGGTGTCCAATTACCGTTGATATTGAAAGATATTGGAAAAATATGATAGAATTCATAAAAAGTAGAACTGGAATTTCTGGCTTAATATACAAGCACCGCATGATCACTTAAATGAAATGAATAAAAACACTTTTGTCTAAATACCACTGGATTGTGGTATTTGGACAAAAGTGTTTTTATTCATTTCATTTAAATTATTCAGTTGAATGGCCCTTCACAGGAGATTCCTGAAAACTTTACCTGTAAGGATACCCTGTTGTTAGTATGTGTTTATTGCGTATTTTTTTATTACGCATGCGTATTGTTTAGTTATCCAACTAATAAGCCCTTAATAAGGCGAATGTATCCCCAGTTTCGAAAATTGTTTTTTCGGTGTCAACGGCATCGGGTACTATGACCATTAGCCTTGTAATCTGAGTAGATCATATTGATAACTTCCCGAATTACGTATAGAGCATCTTGGTCATTCGTAGTTCCATCAGTCATTAATGTAACAGAACCAATCGAAATCACTGTTATCAGCAATTATAAGCATTTCTTCAAGAGCTCTCATACCCAGTAAAGCTTTGAAATAACAAAATAAATTCATCATTTTGAAGGAAATATATCCGAAAAAGACTTGAAATATCGAGAATTTCTTCCTTCTTTGGCATTCGCTAGATTCTTCAACTAAGAAAGGAGACAAACAAACCTCACGAGTTTATTTGTCCCAACACCTACTCCTCTAATATTGTTTCATGTTTAAGTGTCCTTTGTTTTATGTTTGACGGAGCCTGGACTCATTTTGGTTGTCATGTACAGATATAAAGAGCTTCTTTTAGATAGCAACCTTTCTCGGTCATTTTGAGGCAATTGTTTGGTTTTTTCTTGAATATTATTTGAAAAATAATTTTTCAACATTCAATAACTGATGAAAAAGGATATGGTGTATGAATCTAAACGTTTCGAAGACGTTATTACATAGTTTTAACTACACCCAGCCGATCTGTACGTTTAATCTTCTATAGTAAACAGAGAATACAATGGGATATTGTATGAAATGATCCTAGGAATGATCTGACAAGATCCCTGTTTCAATTTCTTCGCAGGTACAGAATATCCTCAAAGTTAGATCTCTAATTTTTCTCTAATGGTCCCAGTTTTGTTATAGTAACATCTGCAGGGGAAGTTTCCGGTGCCTTACAACACGATTGGGTCACCCACCAAAATCCTACAGATTATCTGGCATTATTCCTTATTGATCCAAAAATGGGCATCCCATTATCTTAACAATGTAGGGTAAATCTATTACTGTCCACTATTCTTTCACTTTTTCAATGAATTCCAAGATCGGTCTTGACGTCACCTTTGAGTTTATTAATGAAGTTCTGTTCTCGTATTGATGAACCCAATAAAATAGTTTGGTAATGCATACAAAACTGAAAACAGCAAATCAATGAGCTGCAATCACTCAAAATTCTTACCTCCAACAAAACATCTTTGAATACCAATTGCTGGATAGTAACTCGATGTTTGGTCTCCATAAGTATTCAACAGAAAGATTATCAAGATATCAACCAGCGGCATGCCCCAAGCGTAGCAGCAGTAAATTATGAAGCGTTTTCTTTCAGCTCCTTTCCTGTCACCAAAACTCCTCATACCCCTAGAAAATTGAAGTGGTATAACTATTTATGAAGTACTACATGCATTTTTTTTTTGGTTTCCACTTCTCCATCAATCTATGAGAAATTCAATATTTACTTATAAGAAATTCATCATATCCTTAAATAAACAGATTCTGTCCCATTTACCCAACCTTCTGAAGTTCCATAAACACGGAACATGCCTTGAAGTTTCGTTTTTCTTTCTACATTATTTTATAGGGGGGCGAGTCCTGTCCCTCTTCTGGCATGTGCCTGTCCATTGTCTGCCTTAATGCACGTCCCGCCAGAAAAAAAACTGTAGAAAGAGAAACGAAACTTAACGTCATGTTGCCGTCTTGTCTTAGTGTGCGCCAGACAATAAGTCTTACTATTTTCCAGACAGCAATACGAGGTCCAGCTTTTAAATAACGAGGATGGTTACGAAAAAAAGTTTTATTTTGAAAATCATTCTACATTCGAATGCTCCCCTTCAATATACTCTCCTCCCCTCGCCACACACCTTTCCATATGTTTTGTGCTGAAAGTCTTCTTTGGTGAAGGTTTTTAGGAACTCTGCCGTTTTTTGCTTTACCGCTTCCATCGGCTCAAATCGGGCCCTTCCAAAGCAGATTTTATATTCAGAAACAAAAAAAGTCGCACGGTGCCAAATCTGGCGGGTACGACGCGTGTACGAGCACTGGAGTGCGTTTATTGGCCAAATACCGCTTCACAGATAGCGCGTTATGGCAGGTGCGTAGTCCTGGTGCAGAACCCACGAGTTGTTCTTTCACAACTCGAGCCGTTTCTTACGAACTCGTTCTCGCATTGTAGCCAAAACTGACAAATAGTAAGTCTGGTTGACAGTCTGATCCTCTGGAACCCATTCAGTCATCACGATACTGTTGATGTCGAAAAAAAAACGATCAACAGTGCCTTGAATTTTTATTTGGACATCATTGCTGTCTCGGCCCTCACTGAAGCGCTTACACCACTAAAAACACGCGCACGAGATGGAGAATTGTCCCCATAGGCCTCTTGCAACAATTTATAGCGCTCAATCGGAGTTTTCTTTTCAATTGAACGAGAAATTTGAGATTGATACGTTGCTCATGTTTTCCGTTACACATGGTTTTTGGCACGAGAAAAAAAACACGTTCCTTTCGAACAGCTACTGTACAAATACTGTAATAGTGACGAAAACCTGTTTTGTTACGTGAATATATGAAGATTTCCAGATACCCAACGCACTACTCGTTTTTTCCCACCTCTCTGGGGCGCCCTCTAGGCGCGCAGTCACGTTATTGAATAGGCGGACCTCGTAGTAGGATCATCTAAAAAACGGTCTGTACCGATATACTTATAAATTGGAGAAGTGAAAAACCTTGAGAATTTTTTCCCAACAATAATCTTTTGAAAAACACTTTCTACGCATTTATTAATGTTTCAAAATAGCTACAAACCTGAAAGCCAACCACATATCGATGCACATAACATTCATCCAAAAGAAGGAAACGGTGAAGAAAAATATGATTAAGTAACCTGGAAAATAAAGTTTCAGTATATCAAAATAACTTGAGTGATTTATATGACAGATCTAGTTATATCACAGCTAAATTCATATTCAAAAAAACACTTTTTTGTGATAAAGCTTCTCAAGGTGTGTCTATACGTGTATACAGATGTCTGAAGAATCTATTGTATTGTAACGAATCTGAAGCCGTCCCTGACCGATATGCCGGCCGTCTCAGCGAACAAACACATGACATCCCCGTGAAAGAATGCAATAGCCGGTAAAACTCTAGTCGAGTACCGAACCGACTACAGATTTCTAGAAAGGACCGTTACATTATATAAGCCCGGCTTCCCAACCTAAGAGGGCAGTTCAGAAAGTGAATCGAGCGGTTAAACTAGAAATTCGAATAGTGGAAATAAATTAGTGTTGTAAATAAATTAGTTTGTAATTAGTGAAAAATTGTTGATAAAGACAGGTAATTCTTTAATTTGTTAAAGTATAGCGAAACAAGTGTTGCGTTTTTTCTAAAACTTTTCAGTGAAAATCTCAGAGAGTGTTTTTTGAATATGTAATATATTTTCATTGAGTATTGCGATTTCATCGTACATTATCTGTTCAAAAAATAAGGTGAATTTTCATTTTTCTCAAAATATATTTATTTATTCATCAATTTCTATTTTATCCCCTCCAAAGTAGTTCCCGTCAGATAAAATACACTTGTGCCACCATTTTTTCTGATTTTCGAAATGCACTTTCTAGTATTCGGTTTTAATCTCCTCAATCGTCAAAAACCCCGCCCTTTCATGGACCCTTTCATGGGTAATCTTGAAAACAGGATAGAGCCGCAGGGACTCAAGTCTGGTGAAAACGGTGGCTGAAGCAGGATTGCAGTTTTGTTTTTGACAAAAAAATCACGAACAAGCAATTACAAGTGAGCAGGTGCATTATCGTGATGCAAAAGCTGTGAATTGTTCTTCCACAATACCGGACGTTTTTTTTTTCGCATTGCTTCTTGTAAGTGGCGAAAAACTTCAAGTTAATACTCCTTATTGACATACTACACGTGGCAGGAACTCCCGGTGCATTACGCCACGGTAATCGAAGAGAACAATGAGCAAAACCTTGACATTTGATCGATTTTGGCGTGCTTCTTTGGTCTTGGCTCTCTCGGGTTCTTGCTTTAAAATGATTGGACTTTGGTTTCGACGTCATAACCATACATCCATGATTCGTCACCAGTTATGACCCTTATAAAAATAGCCTGCTTATTATTATTTGAACAGCCTACGTACAGGAGGTTAGGTTAGGTTAGGTTAGGTTAGGTTACTCTTCTTCTTTCATATCATAGAATACTTGGAGAACGGTTGCCTAGTGCTCGACACAATCGACCGCTGTGTGAACCAGTGGTTTAAACCGAAAGGCCGGACGATCGATTTTCACTTCCTATCGTCCAACCCATGTTGTGAATCATACCTTAAAAGTTGAGACATCTTTAGTCCTTAGTCACAAGTTTCGTCTTTTGAGAGTTGTCGTTCGAAGGGGCGACAACTAGTTAACGGAAAAACAGATAGAATACTTGAAACTGACTATAAGAATGATCTCAACATAATCGAGAATCGATTATATTAAGGAGAGCTAGATTGTTACCGTGAGAGTCTCGTGGTGGCCGTGGTAGTAAACGGACGTGCTGTTAACGTCCGTCTACAAAGAAGGTACGCGGATGACATGTGCTATCGTGGGGCTCCGTTTTGTGTTGTGCTAGTTCATTGAACAAATATTGAAATGTGTGAGAGTTTTTAATGAAGTGAAGTTTACGGGCCCCTTTATTCACGCCGGTATTCAGGCCGGGGTGGGTCGGATAACCACGTAAACGGACCATATATGTGAATTTGAAAATCCGAATGTCTCCAGTAGAAGAGGCGACCCAATAAATATATGTAAAAAAAAACAAAAGGTCTCCTGAACAAGAGGCGACAAAAAAATACTGTGTTTTTTATTATAAAAAGTGTGATGAAAAAGAGGTGGCAGAATTGCTTCGAGCAAGATCGCTGCGCCCCCCGACGAAGCTTCTATCAAATTGACGTCATTTTGATAGGAGGAGCCTGGACAAATGCGCCCGAGTGGGTCCATTAATTTAGAAAGAGAGAGATTATGTAAAGGGATTGCAATTAATATAATTTGCGTTAGGTTTTTTTTTCACTTATGAATATTGCATTCATCCGATCTCCTTAAAAATTCATACGAATTGAAAGTTTTTTTGTACTTTACCACAATTTGCCAACAAAACTGGTTGATATCTGTCACTAAACGAGAAATGCAGTTTTTTTTGTTGGGATAATATGTATGCAAGTCACCCTGAACATGAATATCCAAAGCTACTAACTGACAACGCGTTGAAAAAAATCGAAATTTTTTTGCAGCCAATAAGTTATGCTTGAATGTAAAAAAAACTGAAACAATTACGGAAAGTCAAAAATCCATTCAGTTTTTGGGGGTAACTTATTTGGAAAGAACACATCAAAGATCTCTCTACTAAGCTGTCCAGCGAAAGAACACATCAAACATCTCCCTACTAAGTTGTCCAGCACTCTTTACCTGCTTCGTAGGATCAATGAATTTGTTCCCTCTCATGTTTCGAGAACAGCTTACAGGGGGTTATTTCAGTCTAAGCTGTCATAAGGATTGGTTTTTTGGGGACTTTCAACTAATTGGGAAAGGATATTCATTTTGCAAAAAACGGCTATTAGAATTTGGGAAGAGCAAAACGAACTGACAGCTGTAGACCTCTATTAAAAAAATTTAATATATTAACCATTACGGCTCTATACATATTTCAATGTCTTGTTTATATCAAGACACAAAATAACACCCCTCAAGTTAATCGCAACCATGAATATTTGACCATAAATGGCCACAATCTTCTTATGCCACAAAATTGACTGGCAATTACTTATAAAAGCTTTTTTACTATGTCGATAAGGCTCTTCAACCATTTACCACCATATATGAGGGAATTACATATGATTAAATTCAAAAAACGTATAAAAGAGCTACTGGTTGATCTCTGCCCTTATGACGTTAGTGAATTTTTCAACGGCAAGTTTTAATGCTTTGCCTTTTTAATGTGTATGTATTGTGTGTATTAATGTGTATGTTTTGTATTATATTTATCTACCTTGACAATGCTAAATCTGTTATACAGATAATAAGCAAATAAATTGATTGATTGATTGATATGCAAATTGTTGGCAAAATGTCCTACTATCCAATAAATATAAGAGGCCGACGTATCAAATGATTCAAAGGTGTAATTTCAGTGTTGAAAAAGGCAAGTGTCAAGATATTTTGTAGTTCTGGAGTACTTACCTAACAGATTGCATGACACATCCGATATTCCTTCTGAAGACAGCTGGACACTGACAAGTAAAATGTATCCCATCAGTAAAGTCGCAACATATGACATCAAAGCTCTTCGGTGTAAGTTTGGTTCTGGTAGTAGAGCATACACGAGAAAGGTAGCCAGGAGAAACGGCATAGATATTATCATTCCTAAAAAAAATGGATATCAGTACAAATAATAATGTATTCGAAAAAGTGAGTTTCGAATGTAATATCGGAGACATTTGAAAAAAGAAGGTTATTTAGTCCAGGTCTCGGTAAAAAGTTGTTTTTTCTTTTAGCAAACACCACTGACCATATCACTGATGATGTCTGTCGCAGGAGCAGATGAAACGTTTGGTACATCAAGTTTTATTCTACTCCGGCCTACCAGCTTGAATTTTGTTCTCTTTAATTGTTTTATTTGCAATAAAACAATCAATTATGGAATTGATGAGCTTTATCTTCGAAGATAAAAATGAAAACAACAATAAAAATCAATTGGCGCTCCGGGGCGACTTCACTGATTCCAGAGGAGCATTTGCTTTTTCAGCTGCAAGAAAACCCGGAAAAACCTGCAGCACCACATCATCTGAAGATCTTGATTTGCTGCCAATGTCTTCTCTGTCATAAAACAAAGTGTAGGGTGTCTCCAGAGGCTCTAATAGATTCAATACATAGCCAGAACACTTCGTGAGATGACTATCGTCAAACTTAAACCAGCCCGTTTCATTTTTGACCAATGCGTAATAGTGACCAAATTCAACGCCAGAAACACAGTGAATATATTTGTTTCCAGTTAGTTTGGCGCATGTTTGGCAATACAGTCGATCGTCACCTGTTAAAATTCCATTTTTAGATGATTTAACAATAAGCTTTGCACGGACTGGTTATTAGTCATATTAGGAAACGCTAGATGAAGTTCCAAAAATCCCTCTTGAACATTTATTACAAAGTAAACAAGTGAGGATTTTTCCAGCAAAAGATTTACAAACACAAGACGATATGGACTGTACGGAATCATTCAATTCAGAGCGGTCATGGGTATAGATTTTGCTATTGTTTTGCTCACGAAGAGTATTCAACAAGAACCCCAAGAATTCGGAACAATCCTCTTGTTGTTCTAACGAGTATCTAGTGGACATCAATGACTCCAGGAAATATGTTGGAGGGAAAGATGATACATTCTTATGAAACTTCCGCTGCATGAACAGGTGTTTGAGTTTGATGAATAAGTAGGAAACATTCCCGTTCTCGTTCATCATTAAAACCTCGTTCTTGAAATTCTTCGTCATGAACAACACTTGTAAAATGCTATTCATGTAGCAAGTGTTTCCTAAATTATCCAATCCAATTTTCTTTTCTAGATTTTCAGAACAACTCTCTACTGATTCGTGAAAGCTAATGTTTTTATGTCACATATTGTAATTTTTCACAGATATTAATGATGAAAATAAATTATTCAAAGCAACGGAGAAATCATAGGTCATATTTACATTGGATGGGTCATTTGATGAACGCGAATTGAATTAATCCTGCCGAAAGGGTAAACCAATGAAAGAAGGGAAACCAAAAAAACAGTAAGAAACAAAAACTCATCATACATGGAATTTTAGAGAAAGGATCTATCAGCAATTGTTCCCCCAAATATTGTCAATTTTCAAAATGATAATGAACAGTTTTATTGTGCCAAAATTATTTTCCGGTTTTTTTGCCGTTGGTCTCAACGCAGAAAGTACGATGCTGGAATTTTTCTCATGATGTTCATTGCCTCTTCTTTTCTATTGAAATTGTTCTTTGTTTCGGTAGCGGTTCGGCGTGGGTGCTCTGTTCACTCACTCGAATTGACTGCCGTGTTGGTCGGTGGTTCAAGCCCTAGTCTGAACGATCGATTTTCACTTGCTATCGTCCAACCCGTGTTAGGAATCACACGTTAAAAGGTGAGACCTCGTTGATCTTTAGCTCACAAAAGTTTCGACTTCTGAGGGTTGTCGTTCATAGGGGTGCGACAGCTGGTTAACGGAAAAACAGATTTTAAACAGATTTTTTTTTCTGAATTTCTTTTCAAGAATATACAGGGTGTTCCAAATTGAGTCGGCACCATTGCCAACTTCGATATTATTGATGCTACGAATTAGAATAACTGGGCAAACTATTAGCATTTTCAATAGCCTCAACAACAAAGCTCATATTACCTTTCTTTCTGAAGTTAAAAATGAGCAGCTTATGTGGGAATAATCATTTATTTCAATAGTTCAAAAAATTTCTTTATTTTAGCAAATGAAACCACAGGATTGTCCAAACACCCAATTTTGTTACTTATACGAATGACAATATTTTGTTACTAACAGCAAAAAAAATTGCGCTGGGTTTTGAACTCGTGAAATCCGTGATCATCATGTCGTGCCACTCACTTGACACCACAGAGCTATTTGGTATTAATTTACAAAACGATAATTTCCATCTCAAAACCATTACACTAGCCGCATTTATTTTGCGAATCAAAATATGTCTGCTATGATGATAACATTGAAGCCGTTTTTGTACAGAACCTAAAATACTGGAACGTCATATTAATGCGGTTGGGAAAAAATGTGTTTGATTGGATAAAACAGAATTATTATGGATAATCAAGTTGCCTTGAAACTTAGGTGAAATACTATTTGTCAAATATTCTCAAGTATATCATGACAATTTTATAAACTATGGTAACTGTCAACTACTGTTCGAATATTTTTCGAAATGCCGTTTCCCTTTCAATAAAAATGTGATTTGTTGGAATCCTTCTTGGTTTGCCAGAGAAATAGTGTAAGAGCACTCCCACACTACATCAATTCGTTCCCCGATCGTGAATTACCTAATCGGCGTTTTTTTTGCTTTATCGTCGAATCAAGAACAATGAAAAATATTTTGAGAAGAGGAGAACTAAAAAACGTTTTGTAATATCTGAAGATACAGAAATTGACATATTAGTCTACTTTGAGGTAAATCCAAATAATTCCACCAGAGATTTATCTAAAGAAATAGCTGTTCCACAGGCTGCAATTCAACGAATTCTGAAGGAACAAAAGATTTCTCCTTATAGGTTAAGACCAGTGCAAACACTAGAACCTGGTGAGTCTGATTATATGGAGTAGAAGTAATCCATTTCTAGTCCATCCTCACAATCCGCAAAGAGGATTTAGTAATGATGTTTGGTGTGGTCTATTTAGAGCCAGTATTATCGGTCCATTTTTCTATCATGGTAGAAATAATGTTGCGAGACTGTTTTGGAAACAGATGGATTGCTACAAATGGTCCTACTAAGTGGCCTCCACGTTTACCATACATGACACCTCTAGATTCTTACTTTTTGGGGATTTCAAAAAAAAGAGGTGTACAAAATGAAACATAAAATAGATGAACTGAAAAATTATTCTGAAACTATAATTAATATAACTGATGGCCAAATTGTGGTGAAAGCAACACGTAGTGTCAAGAGAAGGTCTTTATTCTCCCGAACATAGAAATATTTCTATACTAGTGAAAGAAATAAATATTTTCATATAAGTCGCTCATTTTCAACTTAAGGGAGAAAAGTGATATGAGCTTCGTTGTCGAGAATGTTATTACGAATCGTAATGCATGATAAAATATAGGATCTTCCAGTTAAAAAAAATATCATTTTATCAAGAAGTTTCAAAACGCGACTGTTAATTTTGTTTTCGGCAACAAGAAGGCCATTAAAAATGCTACCAGTTCGTAGCATCAATAATAACGGAGTTGGCAATGGTGCCGACTTAATTTGGAACACTCTGTATAGGAAGGCAATAGAAATTCAGAAACACAGGGAAAATTCTAAAAGAAAGGAAGAGGCAATAAACATTAATAAATTCTGACTACCTGCCCTCAATTGTACGAAAAGAACGGTATTTAATCCAATTTAGAAAAATAAAGCCACGCCCACCTATGATAATATAAAACCGGAGAAGAACTGTAGTTTCTGCATTGGGAACAACTCAATCACATCGAACGTTACCTCATCGCCTTTAATAATATCTACCGCATTGGCAGACGAAACGTCAGGCATGAAAATCTGCAGACCATGGTAATGGCCATGGCCAAGAAACCCGGAAAAAATATTTGACATAGTTATCTCCGTCAGTGGAAAATTTATATTTTTTGTACAATTAACTTACAAGAGTACGAAATGAAACTATATCTATCGCGTTTGATCTTCCTTGAACCTCATCAATTTGGAATAGAATAAAAAAGTGGATGAGTGTATTTCAGTTCACATTTTTGGGTATTTAGACTTCTGAAGACTAATACAGTTAACAACGTTGATCTTATGGAGGGAAAAAATTTGTTTATAATTAAATAATGACTTCTGTATTTGTAGAGTAGGGAAGGTGGGTGTAGGCCCACAGCACAGGCCACATGTGACCCATTGTACATCCTCCCGAGGAGTGGTTCTCCTAGGTCACCGTCCATAGTCCTTTCCAGAAAGATGGACAGGTCACTAGGAGACATATCCTTCATATCGGCAGGTGCAGGCCAAGACTCGCCGAACTCACACTCTCTTATTGACGATAACTCCGGACATTCGCATAGGACATGCCTGACAGTTTCATCTTCCTGTTCACAAATCCTGCGTAGAGGAGTGTCCACTAGCCCCATATTGTGGAGGTGTTTCCTTAGTTGACAGTGGCCAGTCAGAAATCCTACTGTTGAGCGTAGATTTTTCCTAGTCATCGCCAGATATTTCTTCGGCGCCAGCTTCCCAGGGTCGCCAAATAATGACTTATAGTAAAACCAATAATGATTGAGAGTAAAGCGCGTTGTCATATCTAAATTTTACGTTACCAGTTTATAGCAGAATCAAAATATAGTAAGCAGTAGAGTTGTAGGTTGTGGCAAATTATAGATAATACACAATACTAGTACGATTAAAAGGTATTGTTTATGACAAAAATCAGTAATGAGCTTGTAATGAGTAATACTTATACATTTCCTGATTACTGATCAGTTAAAATTCATTATTTTCTGTATAGTGTTAGATATTTATTACAACTAGTGGCAACGCTGTACGCAACGATATTTCTGTCTTTGTCACTTTACCGTAACTTCCATCTCATCGTTGCAGTCCTCACTAATGTACTTGCAGCC